TATGACTTTAATCTCAGTATTTGGGCTTTAATCTCAACTCTATTTCAGAATTCTAACTTTCTTTTTCTCAGAATTTTGACTTTTTCTCTGAGAATTTTGACTCTTTCCTCTGAGAATTTTGACTTTCCATTACTCAGAAGATTAAAGCCAGAATTCTGAGGAGAAAAAAAAAAGTCAGAACCTCCCGGTGTTTTACCAGTGAAACACAATCACACAGCGGTGACACTACTTTTCAATTTATGAGACGTTCGACTCAGCATTACAAGATGGCCTTGTGCTGTCAGGTGAATATTTAAAGCTCCCTCATCAAAATTTCAGCTTTTTTTTGTTTTAAATAAAAAAACAAGATACAAGCAATGAATTATAGACCACCCTCACAGAGCAGTGTTGTTTTGGGGGGGATTTAACATTCATTACCTGGCTCACACAGTCCTTCAACAGACCAAGCAATGTGTTTTGCACAAAGTAGAAGAAGCTAAAAGGCAAAGCTCGGCGTTTTGGAACCAAACATCTATGGCAGCTTAATTCAGAAGAAAGCAAATCCTTTCATCGCCTCAATGAAATGTTCTTGTTCCCACTTTATACTGTGACTCTGCAGCGCTTACAAGACAAAACATTTGAATTACTAATAGAAAATCTTAGGAGGAATGTTTTATTGAAGGCTCTGGTTGAGTAAATCCCCTTGTTGCGTTTATTTCACCCAGTATTGTTCAGAGAGGAAGGCAGAATCTCCTCATTACTGCATTCAGAGGAGAATATTTGGCTTTCTGCTCCAAACCACACAAATATAATTTAGAAACAGGCCTCCCGTGTTTGGACAACAAAATCGACTCAGATAAGCTCGGTTCATTCGCTGAAAATCTAATACAACCATTTTAATCAAATTCTCTGACAACTACAGCAACCGTCCTACTCAAGTTTGTTCCTGATTGCTTCTTTGCAGTGTCTGTGGAGCGAGACTACGTCTGAGTTCATTTGAAATCACATTTTACCGCAATGATGTTTTTCAATAAATTTATTCAGTCCTTCCTCCAGATGACTACAACAGTTTTCAGAAAAAAAAACAAAAAAAAACATCCTGAAGTCACAATTTAGGTGAGAAACTGCTGCTAGAGAGCTGAAAAAAATCAACATTTCAGATTGTTTCTGATTCAATTAACTGGACCTCATACAGGTCCATCTCTGTTAACTTAATTATAATATCACCAAAACTTTAATCATTCAGTTGAATATAATATAATATATTGCTTCATTACAAACTGCAAAATTTAGGTTCTCAGAATACCTAAAACATAAAACCAATAAAGATGATTTTCAAGAAGGAAAGTTGCCCCCTACTGAAAAGTATGTTAATGTACTGCTCAGTACTTGGTTGGGGCTCCTTTTGCATAAATTACTGCATCAATGCAACGTGGCATGGAGTGTCCCAAGTATTTGCAGATTTCAGCTCTTTTTATTGCTGTTGTTTTTATGTCAAATTAACCAAAAAAAACTACAAAGAACCAGAAGTTAGTTTCTATAAATGTTGACCAACATCAATAAACTCTTAAAAGGTCAGCTGAAATAGACAAATTTTTACCTAAACTTCTATTCTGTTACTTTTTTATAACTTTTAGTTAGCAGTCCGCACTTAAAAAAACATCTGGTTGAGGTCAAGATAATATGACGTAATACATATAGTGCTGTTGATGGGTATTATTATGATTCACATTAGCACTGTAGTACATTAGCTTCTGCTAAACATTTTGCTGGGATAGCGTTTTAGCATTAGCAGAACACTATTTTAGCTAGCAGGTCCCACCACTGCAAAAAAATAGCAAAATAGTTACACCTAGTTTTAAAGCTACTTTTATGTCTCGCTGTAAAACAATAAAGTACTTATAAACCTTTTACTTTCCTATTTATTCTTTAAGACATGAACCAGGACTCTCTGCAGAGTCTACCCTAAAGGCAAGTTGGATGAATCGCCCTCCACCTCTGTGACCAGACATAACAGAAACACTGATACCAACAGCATATATTTTTAATTATACCCAAGGAGACTTCTTCTCCCTCTTTTTCTCCACAAGAATAAATTATTGAGACTGAAAATGTTTCCACTTTTAACTTCCTTTCCCCTCTTTTCCATCCGATGGACTTAAATTGCATCAGCTTCATCTGTGGGAAGAAAACAGCTCCTGGTTCCATTGATTTCTTAGTCTGGGTCTGTTTTGGTAGAAATAAAGAGTAAATCTGTGTGAGAGTAAAGTAATGGTGAGCTTATGGGAGCTGATGGCCTGGCTCTGGATGGATGTGTAAACTCCATCAAAGGAACTGAATGAAACTCTTTACCCTGGACGCCTGACTCGATTAAACTCCTCCGTCTCATTCACAGGAATCGGGTGGCACCAACAAGCAATATTTTACACCACAATACACACAGAAGAAACACCAAATCCTCCCTGAGAGGCATCAATCAGCCTGTAATGTCTGTTTCCGGCGCCATCTCTGACCTTTCAAAGCCACTGATATGGTGGTCAGCGCTAGCAAAGCCTCAGATTATTCCTCATTTTTTCTGTTTTTGTCCTATAAACTCAGTCATCACACTTCGATCGAGAGCACCGAACAAATGTATCATTAGATGAACTAAATGGACAATACCACCGGGAGCCGCCATTGTTTCTGTAGCGAAGGCTATCGGCTATCGGCGGTAGCTATCTCCCGGAGAAATGTAATGTCTGGAAACTGTTATCATCCAGCTAGTGGAAGAAATGCAGACGGAGGAGTAGTGGCTGCGGATACGTTGGACAAAATGACAAGTGACATAATGTTCTTTGGCCTCGTTCAGCTCGGCACATTTGAACCACTAACTCCATCAACCGTCGCCTCACGCCCTCACCTAATGTACAGTTTTCATAGCAACATAAAGAGCATGTCTAAAGTAGGTTGAAGGATTTCAAAATTATTTGTATTAAACCAAAAGGGGAAATAAATATTGCAACTTATATTACTTTTTTTTTTCTTCTAAAAATGAAATCATTGTAGCTGTCAGTATTACATTGAAGTCGCTAAAAATACTATTGATATAAACACTTGATGGGTCAATAAGATCACATTAAATATTGTAAATAGGGTTGTGAATGCATGAAAGTTACATAAACATTACTTTCCTGAAGTGTTTTCAACTATCACATGTGAAATTACTTTAAGACAAATTTCAATTTATGGGGATACTGTCTCTGAAAAGCTGTAGACTCTGTCCAAACATTTTGCCACGACGGCCAATAAGTCATCAAGTTAAAAGTTCTTGGGGGCCACAAAAATAATTTCTTTCTAAATTAAAATAAAAAATAAATAAATACAATTGTTGTTGCTTTCTTGTTTGTATCTGCTCAACAATAAACTAAACATGCAAAATTGTTTTGAACCAAACAAAAATAATCAATAATAAATTGGAGATCCGAAATACAAAACATGAGCTAAATTATTTTATTCTTTTGTTTTGATTAAAGAATATCGCACAGTATTTTCTCCCTGTAATCCAATATTTCTTGTACACTCCTGCATGTTTTTTGTCTGTTCAATCTGAGTCTTTTATCACTCTTCTCTCACTCTGCAGAACAAGAACAGACTTGGAGCTGGAGATTAAAACTCTGGGTAACAATGCCACAGCATGCCTGCAGTTCCTGTCTGAGCAAACACAGAAATAAGAAAAATACAGAATAAAGCTAATCTTAGAAATGTCTTGTAGATGCTGGGTGTCAAGAAAACAACAAGTGTTTTTTTCCCTGATTGCTTTTGGTAGAAAATAAAAATAGAGGGTAAAAGAAGAAGTGGTGAAAGCTGTGTAGGGCATTGTAGATAGAAAGGAGGAGTGAATTGTACATTTCCACCAAAAAATCTCAAAAATTAAGACAAATCTCAGAAAATTTCCTTTAAAAAACCCCAAGGGAATCTCTGAGTTTGAAAAGTCAAAAAATTTACAAAAAGAAAAAGTTTTTTGCTTGATCTCACAAATTAGTCTTATAAAAACAAGGAAATGTCTGAGCCCCAAAAGTTGAAAAATTTCAAGAACAAACTGAGAAACTTCAGTTTTAAAAGTCAAAGATTTGTGAGAAAAATGTTCACAAATTTTGAGCTTAATTTCAGAAATTTATTTGAAAAAACTTGACAAAGGTTAAAAAATATATACATAAAAAAGCTCAGAAATTGTGCAGATGATCTGGAAATAAACAGAAATTTTCAGAGTCTGAATAGCTGAGAATTTGCAAGAAACAATCTCAGAACATTTGAGATTAATCTATGAGATGTTCCAGAAAATAGTTGGAATTATCTGAGTTCTAAAAATTCAGTAATTTCAACTTTTGAAACTCAGACGTTTTCAAGGTTCTTTTCCAGAAAATTTCAGATTAATCTCACATTTTTTTCTCGTAAACTTTCATGTATTGGAAAAACATTCTGAGATTGATCTGAAAATTTTTAGGTTTTTTTCTAGAACATTTATGGCTTTACAAAGTTAGAAATGTACATGTTTTTCTAGAAAACTTGATAATAATAATAACAATAATAATAATAAATGGCAGTTTTGGGCAGACATTTACAATTTCTTTTTTCTGTCTACACTTTCTTCAATTACTATTGTTTTTGTAACTGTTGAAAAATGCGCAATAGAGTAAAATACCCCATAGTTGTGCTTTAAACAATAAATCAGGCTCAAGAAAAACATAACAATAATTGTGTGGTATTACTTGGATTAATGAACAGTCTGTCCTCGGCTGCCCTCAGATAATTCCCACACATTCATCAAATCTCCAGGGCATGGATTCCACTAATTCCAGCAGCATTACCATAATGGGATCTAGTTTCATGAGCAGGTGTGACAATCGCTTGTATTTTACATGGCATTTTTCTCAGTTGTTGTAAACATGCTGACGGTTTTGGATCAGCATTCAGGTCCAAATACGGCAGATGAGGGATTAATCTCTGCTGCAGAGCCATGAAACCTCCCTGTTCCTCCTCCAGCTAAACCTGAACTCTGCATTTTATCTTCTCCACAGGGACGCAGATCCGTTTTCAGTCATAACTCTGACCCGTGTGTGCGTGTGTGTGTGTGTGTGTGTGTGCGTGCGTGTTTTTCTCCACTCCATTCCACCACCCATGCTGGCTAATCCCTGGATCCTTTGAGTAGGACCATGATTTGTGGGACGGTGTTGCCAGGGGGAAGGTGGTAGCGGTGGTGGCGCTCGGATCCTGTTGGAAATGACAGCTGAGGAAGGCGGATTGGAGCTCGGGGACCAGAAAAGCAGCAGAGGCAGGAGATAGCGAAGAAAGTGCCGCACTTCGCCGTTTTCAAAGGGTGTGTTTGTGTGTGCTGGAGAGCAGCTTTTAGCCTCTCGGCTAATCATTTGTCATGGATCTGTGTGTGTGTGTGTCGTCTTGAAGCTAAACGAAGCCGAGTGTGCGTGTGCGGATACACGCATCTGTACGTGACCGTGGATATGTGTTTGTTTGCTAACATGTCAAATCTGACATGTTAGCTATAGTGCTAATTTGCCAAAGCTACTTGGCTAATATCCTAAATTAGCTCTTTCTGGGTGCCGCCTGAATGCAACATGTCCAGTTGTGTGTTAGACATTGTAGATATTTTAGCCCTCTTGCTACAACAGTTCAAGATCATTTCTTGTATGAAAGGTGTAGTAGGTGTGAACTGTTGGACGGCAGGTAGGCTAATTTTTGTCGGCTAATAGCTTAGCAGCTGGCTCGTTAATTGACCCAGTTTCCGGGGGCAGAGGCCGAGTTCGCGTTCCATCGCGACACAACTTTGTTTACAACTTTTCTCCCCCGTCCCCTGATTATTTAGTTACACTTTTCAACCACAGTTTCCCATGTCAGACCCAACGCCCTGCTTTAAACTCTGAACGTTCATTTAAAAGTTTTGTTTTTGGACCTCGTTTAGCTCTGGGTCCATTTAATCCGCTAACTCCGTCAACCGTCGGCTCACGTGCCCGGTCTGCGCTGCGGGGAGAATTCGCGTTTCCATAACAACGTAAACAAACTACGGTAAACCAGTTTGAAGACGTAAAGACTGCCCGTTTCATTTAAATTACACTTTGTGTTAATCCCAGAGGGAAAGCAAATGTTTCTGTCACTTTTCTAAAATTTTCTTCATGGAGTCATCGTACATGTTGATGGTTGTGAGCGGGAACCATCTCCTGTAGCGGTCTGTGTTGCAGTGAATCGGAAGAAACCTCTGACCGAAGACACTTTGTTGTCAACATTTTATTAAGAATCCTTAGAGTATTTTTTTATTATAGATTTATTAACAGCAAGCCTAAAGATATGTATGTAAAACTAATTTAATTTGAAAACGTATAACAAATTTTTAATTATGCAAAGATCATGTTGAGGTGAATTTAAATCATAGAGTTGGTTCATTATTGGTTTGAAAATATTAAGTACTATATTACTAACATACAGCCTTAGTTGTACTTTAGTAACTCAAATTTACTTTCTCAGAAAATTAGAAGATCTTCTAAGATTAATTTTTTTTAATGCAGATATCATGTTATGACCTACTTATGGCTTATAACATCATACAGAAGAAAGCTGATAATCCACAAAGAGGATAATCCACAGTCTAGTGCTGCACCCAAACATATTCACAGAAAGTTTAGTGGAAGAAAAAAGGTAGTAGAAAATGTCACACAAGCAAAAGCGAAACCTGCATAATTGTGTAATAAATGCATGAATACTCAAAAATTGACTTTAGTTTGACCTGTTTATATTGCCTTGAAACTTTCACAAAATTCTACTCTTTGTTGCTCTTTGCCTGTTTTTCACAGAAAAATTTATTAATGTTAAAAAAAACAACAACTATAATTTGCCCAGTACTATAACCTTAAATACCGGGAACCCAGACTCACTGATACTGCCATTCACAGTTAAAATGCCTAAACATTGAGAATACAATTAAATGCTGGGATTCAAACTCAAACTTGAACCATTACGATTGAGCCAAATCACAAAGTTTGCAAAAATCTTCCCTCCTTCTATTAAAAAATGAACTATAATAGTCGGTCATACGTCAAAATAATCACAAATTTTTTTTAACACATTGTGATTACAAGGTTGAGTTGTTTAAAGAAACAGAGCCTTAACTTGTATAAATATCACAAAACTTTGTTTTTATCTGAGTCTCATGATTAACACCAGGCAGCACATAACAAGTCAAAAGAATAAAAGCTCTTTATTTAGATGGCGAGAAATTCATTGTGTTGTTTTGGTATGTAGAAATTCTCAGAAACTGTAACCATTCATGTAGAGTCAAAACCTTTCTTTTAATTATTTATCCAAAAATGACTAAATGAAACTATGTAACCATTTTGTGGCATATCAACTTACTTGGTAGTTGAGTGTTTTTGATGAATTTAAGCAAAATGACCAGCAAGTTTATAATATTTAATTCAAATGAACAAATATTATTTATTAGTTTGAAAAACAATAAATGGAAACTGTAATTTTTATTGAAATAAATAAAAACTGTAATTAATGGGAGAAACAATTTTTGTCTTCCATCCTCAGGGTTGCTGAGATGGAGTCGCTGATGAACGCGGTGACGCCGCGCTCGCCGGCCCCCGTTAAGAAGCTGTCCGAGGTGGACTTCCGCTCAGGGGCCTCGCTGGAGCAGCTGTCGGCCCAGGTGTCAGAGCTGGTGCTGCTGGAGCAGGGGGAGTTTGGAGACCAGACTGCCTTAGAGGTCCACACTGCCAAGGACTTCATCTTCAACATGCTCGGTGAATAAACATGCAGTTTATTTCTCTTATGCAACTTTCACACATTTGTTGAAACTGTCACCTTGTTGTGGCGTTATGGATGAGGCTAATATTCTGCCTTCTGGGAACAACCAATCAGAGGCAAGAGGCGGGTTTTAGTGCTGTCAATCATGCTAAATGCGTGCTGCTCACACTAAACATGTATCAGGGTATTCACGAAGTTGATGGATAGCGCTAAGACCCGCCTCCTGGCTCTGATTGGTTGTTTCTGGTGCATTTCTTCAAATGACAATAGGGAGGATGTGGAGGAGATCGATCTTTTCACAGATTATCATAGCAAACTGTCACAAAATGGAGACAGGTTCAATAAATATGTAAAAAACATATTTTTAATAAAAGCTACATAGTGCAGCTTTAACGTCAGGTAATGGAGAAGGACTCAATGTAGTTTTTAGGGCAATGCATCCTGTTGTTTATTATGTAGTAATCAATCGTTTATTTGTGTAGCACATTTCAATAACAAGGCAGTTCAAAGTGCTTTACATTATAAAAGCACAAAAAAAATTAACAACTGAATCGTTATACATCAGAATGTTGTTCAGTTAACTCCTTGTAAACAGTTTCTCCTGTGATTTTTGGCTTTTTCTGGTCAATTTAAGAACAAAAGAATAAATCTGATTGAAATTTGTTGAGGCACAGATGCTGGACTCTGAATAATCTTCAGGGTTTTACCTGCTGCTCCATAGTGGCAGGGTGAGCTTTGGTTATTCTTGTCCAGCCTTGTTTGCTACAGTTTTAAATTATTCAGTCATTGCTTTCAATGTGTAACATTTAGGTTGGTGCATGTCTTTTAGGTTAGCCACATTGTGACTGATAGAATATTAAAACTGTGCAAATAAGAGCAGGGATGTAAACAACTTTACTGAGCTGCTCGGAGGAAGGATCTGTGGTAAATCTCCTTTATGCCCCTGGATGCAATATTTTGTCTCTGACGGAGCTTTTCCATTTGTTTTTCTGTGAAGAAATACTCCATCATTAGCTTTAGTCAGCTTGATTCTGAGTCTGATCTGCAGCGTTTTTCCTTAGTTTTCCATTTTGCAGCTGGAACCCGGTTAGGTCGGGTTTAGTGTCTTTCCCAGAGTCACTTTCTGGCTCCAGAGCTAAATAAATCAACACCAATGCTATTCTGGGAGTTCTGGAAATGTCCTCTGCTGTTTCTGTTTTGAGCCAGAACAAGTCGTCTCTTTTTCTGTTTCTGTTTATAATCGGTTGTAGCTCGTGCCACCATGATGTTGCAGATGTGGAAATGTGTATTCGCTCATAAGATTTACAGTGTTATATTTATTTTCCAGGTTTTTAGGAATTTGTTTTAGTTTACTGTGGTGTCGCTGGACAAATAGAGAGCTTTGCTGCTCTGCTTTTCCTAGGATTATTTGAAACGTGTTGCAGAAAGTTGACAAAGTGATTGTCAAAGTAGATACAGTAAAAGGAAACAAATGATCCTTTATTGGCCCATTTTTCATTCGACGTAAGAGTATCTACATCTGAGATAAACACACCTGAATAAGTTGTGTTATAAAAGGTTAAACACAGTAACCTTCATATATGGAGTGTCCCGATTTGCAAAGTTCACATTTCTTGATTCTGAATTAATCTACTCTGCAAAGTTTGCAGAAAACCAATGGCTAGTTTTTGCTTTTTGTTGCAAGTTTAAAACAAAAGCTGACATATGAAAGTCTGTCCAACAGATGGCACTGTTTCTCCTTTCAGTCTTCTAACGCTCATCTTCCTGGCCTCTCTCGTGTGCATTGACATAAAGCAGTTAAACATTAAGAGACGACTTGTTTAGAAGCCGTTTCTCATGCTCAGTGTTTCCGTATCTTATTAGCTGGTTTTCCTCTGCAGTTTGCTGGTTGATGGATCACTCTTCTTCTCTCTTCCTCGCCTCACCCAGTGAGAAACGGCACATATCAAACTGTGATCCAGCCTTTTCTTTCCCATCCTCTTGCCACCGCACGCAGACACACATCACTGCCTTCCCCCTGCAGGAGTCTCTTTGCTGCTTCCGTCGTTTTCTTGAAAATCTCCTGACGGCTCCGTTTGGTTTTTGAGGCGGCTCAATCACTAGCGGCTCACCAGTGCGAAGGAGGGAACAAATAAAAGTTTGACACTTTGAACAGTTGGAAAGTTTGCGTTTAGATTCTGGGATTGTAAAGCCGAACGTGCAGCGGCTTCGATGAAAGGAAGCAGATATCGTCCTGATCTGGGGGAGTCGTATTTCAGCGCGCTGGGCTGCTCTTTTCTAAAGTTGGAGCTGCAGATGGATTCTCACTTGGGCTGTCAAGAAAAAGGCAGGAGAGGAGATTAAACTCGCAAACAGACATGGTGGTTTTCCTCACAGCCTGACAGATTCTCATGCTCTTATTTACCTCATGTTTGGGTAAACAATTTGGTTTGCCTTCTGGGGGGCTACTGTATAAATCTTTTAAGATGGAAAAGAAGAAGAAACGGATCCCCACCGGTGGAAGAACGAGGAGGAGTTCAGATGTCATCCTCTCTCTGAGCAAAGGGAAGACTCCTGCTTTCGATCAAAGCTTTCGAAGTCATGAACGTCTTTCTGTTTGGGTTTAGAAATGGACAGTTGTATCAAAAAACAAATCAAAAGCCTAAGCTGCAGTGGAAGGAGAACCAGATATGTCCAGAGGGATTTCCTCTTTCTTGTTTTTAGCAGTTTTATGCTAAAAATAAAAAATCAGGTGAAAGAAGAATCAACTTCCTGTTTTTGGGGTTTGTTTTTTTTTACTCCCAGTGAGGCAACAACACAGGTTGAAGTGTTATTAGTTGTGATAAGGTAAATTAAAAATAACAAATTCAGAAAACTAAAACAAAAAAAAACAAACAAAAAAAAAGCATAGGCCAGACTTTAATGTGTTAATTCTCTTGAATTAATTACATTAATTTTAGCACATGTTTGTTTTTACATACAAAAGTTCTGAGCAAAACCTTTGTCTCTGATTGAAACGCACGCACACACACACACAAACGCAGAAAGCAAATAGACAACTCTTCTGCTCAGCTTGTGCAGCTTGTGTTTAGACTTTACCTTTCAGGTTGGCTTCCACAGAAACAGTTTTAGCATATTTGTACTGTCACAACTTGTAGTTTTGATTTTTTCTTGTATATATTATAATGCTTGTACATAAATATTCATTTACACACATTTTCATTTTGTCCTTTGTATGCTTGAAAGTAAAGTGAAATCCAAAAAAGCTGATTTGGATTCTGAACCAGCCCAAAATGGCAACTAAAAAGGAAATTTTACATTTTTAATGAATTTTATTTACTCCAAATCAATTTGAACCTTGATCTAAATCGATAAAAGATGATAATTATGATGAGTGGATGTCTATTAGAGATTCTAATTTTGGGAAAATGACCCAACAGCTGCTGAATATTTCTGCTAAAGCCCTTCACCTCATTTAAAGAAAAAAAGTTATTTTTTATTCCAGATTTTGTCCCTTCATGGAGGCATCTTTCTGATCCAGATGTTCTGTGTCTCAGGCGTCGAGGGGCCAGGGGCCAAAAACCAACTTCTGCTTCATTATCGCACGCTCAACTAACCCTCCGTTAGCGCCGTTTCCGATTTGGGAGCACATCTTTGCTTGACAGCTGGGACAAGAAGACGAATCAAAATCCTCATTTGATCAGCCACTCTTTGTCTGTGCAACAATTTTCATCAGCTCAGACGCAAAGCCCAATCTGAGCCAACGCTGTTGTTTGGCTGACAGCAGCGTTGAGGTTTTACGGTTGGGAAAACCGGCGTGTCGGCGAATATCCCAGCAGATGCTGATGAATTCGCAGCCTCCTGTGATCAGAGACAGATCACACAGCTGTCTCTGATTGAAACGGCGAGCAGCGTGTTCGTGGCTCAAGGCAGAAGATGTCACATCTGATCCGTCGTTTAAGGATTCTTCTCGGCTCTTAATTGAACATGACTGGGGTTTTGACACCGCATGACATCGTTTGACAGAGTCTTCAATTAGGTGATTAAGGGTTTAAAATCTCCAAGTGTTCCTGAGGCAGCGAGTGAAACGATTAGCCGCTATCAGAGGATGGCGGGATTGTCTGACCTTTTGTCTGAGTGTTCTTGAAAAATCCTCCTCTGTACCTGAGATAGCTGGAAAATGTAGTTTGGGTCGTCTTCAGATTAACTCAAAAACTGTTGATTTTCTCTGTTTGAACATTTTCCAAAAAGTTGTTGGTTTTACAACTGGGAAAAGATGATTAGGAAAGCTAGAGAAGTTGAAGATGAGGTTTAATGGATGCAGAGCAGAGACAGGAGGAAGTTCAGATCAACTCTTCCATCCATCATAATGGGAATGGATGATATCCCCAACTCCAGCATCTCTCTGTCCAACTCTTTAACCCTACAGCCAAATAAAACTAAGGTTTCATTCACACCAGCCATGTTTAGTCCACTTTAATCAAACTCCAGTTCTGGGTAAATACAACTGAAAACAAACAAGCTAATGGAGTGCTAGTGAGAGAAATTATGCATTATCTTTTAACAAAGACAAAAGAGAAATCCTACAACCACTAAAACCTGACACTTCTCCGTTTTCATGTCGTTTCCTTCCATGGTTCTTGGTGCAGTGCCCCCACAGGTGAGGAGGGGAACAGGTTTTTCAAAGGGTTTGGATTTTTTTGACACAGAACAGTGAAAGAGAACTGCAGCAGGTGAAAATGTAACAAATGTAAGTTTGGTCCCCAGTTCGACCAGGTTAACCTTATTCAGGGTTTCCTCCAGTGTACTTTAAGCCTGGCAGGCCCCCAGGCTTAATTTGCCCTCCCCACCAGCCTAAGTGTCATTAATTGACTTTAAATTTTTTTATTATTTTATACACCAGTAACAATGACAGTAAAGAAGGGGGTTAAGCTAGGTTTAGCATTGAACTGGGTTTGAGGGGTCTGTTGGCTTCACATGATTTTATTTCCAAATTATGATGCCAGCTAGTTCACCTCCAGATTTTGTGACTTTTAAAAAAAAATTAACACAAAAACACAGTTATGCTGTTAGGATGTACTGAAAATCAATGAGAAACAGTCTTTAGTCAGAGGCTTTTTGAGAGTCAGTGCAACACTGACTGCTACTGGATGTACTTCCTGTCCACTGAATTACTTGGTTGATGAGAGACGACAAAATTTAATTTCTTTTATAAGAGAAATAATTCAACTTACTTCCAGCTCAGACGTCTCAAACTCTTTTTGTGTTTCTGTTCTTCCATGTGACATCTGTATCGCTTGTCTTAACATCCAGTTTGTCATATTTATGCAGAGAATCTGAAAAAGTAGCCAATTGAGACCTGGAGAACAGCTACCGTCTGCAAAACAGATTCAATTAAAGAAGTCAGGGCCAAGAGAGCTGCTGTAAAAAGTCTCAAGCCGCTGTGGTTTTTCTCCACTTCGCTGATAATTCACTGTCATTTAGCGACGGGTAAAACGGCGGTATTACTGTGATCAAAGCAGCAAAGAGGAACCAAAATGACACCGACGGCTTCCTCTCTGCAGGTGGTCCAGACACACCACGTCTGTCATTTCTCATCCCGATCTCACTTACACACACACACACACCCACACACCCGCGCACACACACACACACGCACACACCCACACACACTGAGCAGGCCTTTTAGCATTAAAGCATCTGTTTATGAGCAAATCTTCTGCCGAAGTGTGAAATCATAAACAGTGAGGTGACAGAGAAGCTGATCAGTCTGAATTAGACTGGAGATGGTTGAACTTAAGTCTGGAGGTTTATGTTGCATATTTTTGTTTAACCCGGTGGTCAGCATTCAAGAGCCAATGTTGTAGCTATTAATGTCGAGTTTTCGTAAATCATAAGCGCCGTCAATTTAGTTTTTTCTTCAGGCAGTTAAAATGTACTTAAGTTAGTCTGAAATTAAAATCTGTCATTTTAATTTGTTGTGATTACTTTGGAGACTTTTAGACGCTCCCATAAATTCAGGGCTGTTCAAAGTGCGGCCCAGGGGCCATTTTTGGCCTTCAGAATGACTCTTGGTGGCCCTTGATCGCAGCTCATGTAGTTGAAGCAGATTTTTAAAGGATTAAAATGGAAATATCCAACACAAAGTATTCGTCCAGTATTTCTACTTTTAATTTAATTTATAGTAATGGGGACAAAAACGTTCTGATTCTTTGACTAAAATGCCGTTTTGGGCAACTTTTCAAAGTAAAGCAAGAGTAGCCATATTCTATCCTTGTGTTAAAAAGACACAAAAAAAATCATAACCAGATGAAAACTTTAGCATATACTGTACTGTTTTTTTTTCTGACAAAACTGCAGGGCCGTTTTTTGGTTTTAAATCTACAACTTACACATCCCGTCTGCAGAAGTTGGGCTAGAAGTCGATAATCAATAATCATTAGTTGCAGCCCAGGTCTAAAGAGTCTAATGGAAATAGAGAATTTCCCTCTCCAAACAACAAATATGAAAGAAATGCTTAGTTTTTAGTTAAAGTATGGATGTTTAGAGTAATAACTGTCTTTGCTTCTCACTCTGAGGTAAATCACGCAGGTTTCTTAGCGATCACTCCCTGGCGGATGCTTGGTAGTTAAATGGAGGCTGTAAAAATGACGGCTGTAATGTGAGTTTAAATTCACAGCAGTTCAGTGTAACGTATGATTATAATTTACTGAAATTCTGCCTGGGTTTCCCTCTGATGGGACACGGAATGACTCTTTTGGGCCGGGAAAGCGTCCTCTCCTGGAGACGTGCATCGGTTACAGGATTAGGGTTAATCCGTGGCTGTGAAATCAGCCGGGACCGGCTCCATTTTCCACATTCAGTCGGCGCTGGGAGTGTGTGTGTGGGTGTGTGTGTGCTGGTTTGTCCTGCTGACCTGTTTAACAGTTTTTAATTAAAAAATTGCAATTTCTTTTTTAATATTTTTTGGAAGAACTTCAAACTTATAGCAGAAAGTGTGGCGCTTGCTAATTGATACGATTTTTTTAATTTTCGCTCCACTCAAATTGAAGCTCTTTTCTTGGCTATTTGACCCAATTTATTAAAGGCTGATTAAACTAAATAAATCTGAGCAGACTCTGCTACAAACCTGCTGAGCTGTTATCTAATGTCCACTCTTCCTCTTTAGCTTTCACCCTTTTTTTCTTAACTTCTTTTAAATATTGCAAATTAATGTGAAAATCTGGACACTTCACTTTATCTCTGTCATCGGTGTAAAAAAACATCACATCTGCTCTCCATTGCTGCTGTAGTTAAATCTGGTGTGCAGTTTTATCCTAACTTTACAAATTAAAGTTTAGGAATAGATAGAACTATTCCTAAACTGTAGAAACTCATTAAACTCAATGAGTTTAAACAACCAGCAGCTGAAAAAATAAAGCGCAAAACCATTGACTGTAGAATGACTTCATTTTTCCTCATCACTGAATCTATTGCTCTCTTTAAAGTAATTGGAAATCAGAAAATTTCTAATTATGAGAAGGTCAAAGATTGATGGTTGGAGGCCTGTCAATGGTAAAATAACCAAAAAGCGCCTGAAACTAAATTAATTCAGCTGCTGTTCTTTATCCCTTAGACTAAAGACAAAAGGTTGGTGTCTTTGTCAAGATCTTAATCTAAATGTCTCGTCTTTGCTGTTTTTAAATATAACTGCTATGTATCATCTGTATCAAAGCGAAATAGAAACACTTTTTTTTACGCATTACGCCATTTTGTGATCAGCAGCAACTCTCATATTTGTAGCCACTGACCTCCTTGGATGAAAAGCGCTTTAATATAAACATAGTGTTGGTATGAGGAGAATTAAATATTCTCTAAGTTTGTTTAGAAGCAGCAGATCGTCAGCTTTGATGAGAGTTTAAAAGTTCTCCTTGGGTTTGAAATCAGTTGCGTAATAAACACCAGAAGCTGTTCGTTCACCGCTGGGAAAATGCAGTTCATTTTTCAGAAGGCGTTTTTCTTTCTTAAAACACCTCTAAAGCTCTCCGGCTGTTTTTATTCAAAGAAGCAGAGAAGACAATGTCCCGCTCATTAATTCTTATTTCTCATGCTCAGATGTTAGTTTAAAACTAGAACCACTTTCACTCAAAGCTCACAAGTGTTTGATGTTTGTCTTAGATGCGGAATAAAATCTGACTCTGTGTTGCTGAACACAGCTGCTGTTTCTGCAGAGAGAGAAACAGGAAGCTGTGGTTTAGACTCCTGAAGGAGTTTATTCTCAGTCTCTGGATGTTCCTCCATTTTTATTTTGCTCCATTTGATTTTCCCTTTAGTGACATGCGGTCAGGTGAGGCCATCCAAACAAGTTAATCGCTGCATTAGAAGTGAAATGGATGCCAACAACAAGAGAATCCCCAAATTCCCCCAACTTGAAAGCCCTCAGGGGCCAAAATTACATTTTTATCTCCATTAATAAAAATAGTATAATTGTGAATTCTTCCTTTTTTACATCCACAACAATAAATTAAGATACAAATATTTTAATGAAACAAACTTTAGTATAACATTAGCCTTGATCTTTAGTTACTTAACTTTTTGTGCTATTTTTTTTGTTGGTATATAAAATGTTTTGATTCTGAGGTGTCCAAACTTTTTGCATCAAAGACCAAAATCACCAATTTGAAATTCCTCAGGAATCAAAATGATCTTTCACTCTCCAACTAAGACACAAAAATGGTGTTGTTGTTCTTCCTCATTTATCTGAACAACAATAAATTAAACAATATTTGAATTAAACCATCATTTGTATGACACTTGCTTTAGTTTTCACAGTTATTTAACTTTTTGGACCAATTATTGACCTTTTTTGTTGGTTTATAAAAGATTTTGGTTCATTTCCTGCAACAAAAATAAACCTTTTCTGTGTTTAGTCAAATGATAGAACTTTCCATGAAATTAAAACATATTTTCTGTTGAAGAAGATTTGATTTATCCATGACTATCCGGGACACAAACCTTTAGTAAGCTAGCTGCAGCAATGCATTTTAAGCTAAAGTCATGGCACATTAACAGTTGTTTACATGCTGCACCTCGTGGACCACAGTTTGAGAAAGATTGTTCTAAATCCCCTCTGGCTGATAAACGTCCTTCTCACCGTCTCTCCCCTGCATCGTCTGCCCTTCACCTCCGACCTGAAGCAGGTATCTGTCGCCTGTGGACCTCTTCTCCGTTAGATCAGGCTTTCTTCTCGGTTCTCTCTTTTTAAATGGGCAGAGATAATTTACTCCAGGGAGGTTCCCACGATCCCAGAGCCCGAAAAGTACACAACACCGCTAAGTAGTCATGGAGGGATTTGGAGATTTGGGTTTCTCTGATAAAGTTTACAGAATGAAGGAAAGAATGGTTTGGGACTCTGGGGAGTTCTGGTACTGGCAGGATTTAAGAAGCAACAGGAAAATGATTCGTCTCTTGTCTCTTCCAGATGCTTCATGTCCCGCTGTGTGAGGTTTACTGGAACGAGCTGCTCTGACGGCGATACATTATTCATAACTATGTTTTGTATTCAAACTATTTATCTCTGTCAGAAAATGAAGCTTTTTTTCAGTACAGGAGCCCAGAACGGACAAACAATGGGCATGATTGTTTTATTGCCATCATTGGTTCGTCTGTAAGCCCCAGGGATCGCTGTTAGTTGCAGTCTACAACTTGACCAGCAGATGTCACTAAAGTCTAATATAAAAAAAGCTTCTTTTAGTTGAGCCTTAAGCAGCATAAAGTTGGAAAAGAAAATTAACCAAACTAAACCACCTAAACTCATTTGTTAACAGGGAAAGCAGCTGCTGGTCAGTGAGCGGTCCTGCCAGATCTGTGTGACCTATGACCTTTGGTGAAACTATTCTCTTCTGCCTCTTCTGCTGAAATCACCAAACTCTTAACTGTTTCTCTCCCCCCTAACCCTGCCAGGTTTGGTCCAGAAGGTCGACCAGCGCCTCCCGGTGGCCAACGAGTACCTGCTGCTGTCCGGCGGCGCCCGGGAAGGCGTCCTGGACCTGAACCCGGAGGACCTGGGCGAGTACGCCAAGGGGGCCGACTTCGACCTGGACTTCACCCTGCTGGTTCCCGCCCTGAAGCTGCACGACCGCAACCAGCCGGTGACGTTGGACATGAGGCGCTCGCCGCCGTGCCACTCCTGGCTCAGCCTGCGCCTCTGCGACTCCAACGTCCTGTCGCGCTGGAGCGTCTGCTGCCAGGAGGAGAGCGGGCTCCCCGCCGAGGAAGACGAGGAGGAGGAGGAGATGGGTGAGAGAGAGAGTGTGAAAGACGGGCGACTGGAAGGAATAAACAAAGATGAAAGTGTTGCTGCAGATTGGATTGAGCACATGTTTTCTTCTGATGCACGATGCTGTGATGCAATTTCAGCTGACAGCCCGCAGCAGACGGGCCGTTTTTCACAATAAAAGCCCTCAGAAAGGTTTTGAGTTCAACTCATGAAGCAGAGCTAAGCAGTGGAAAGTGCAAGATAACGCAGCGGTTTGCAGATTACTCCAGAAAATCAATCTGCCGCACGCTGGTGAGAGCGGAGGGGGGCGTAATGACATTTATTGATATGATTCTGTTTAAGTTTTAGCAGTTTGGGACAAAGCGTCAGCTGGATTTTCTGGATATGTAATAACATTTCCCACCAGATTTCAGGGAGCTGTAATTGTCGAGGCAGGGGAGCTGATTAAATCAGGCTCAATGACAGAAAGTGTCGCACCAAATGTGTCCCTGAAGGATGAAAACATCCACCTGGGTCGATGGTTCCTAGTGGAATAATTAGATTTTGACACCTTTCGCAAAAGTGTTCACACCCCCTGAACCGACACATCCTGTCATGGTGCAAGCCCAAACTTTGATGCTCTTTATGGCATTTATTTGACAAACACAAAGTAGTGCTGATTGTTAATTGTTAAATAGAAGAAAAATAACAGAGTTAGTGAAATCTATCAGCTTTGGTAATCAATTCATTAGTTCTGCACATCATCTAAAAAACAAAACTTTTATGTAAAATGAACTTTTTTGAGCTGAGTTTCATCTGTCATCTGATTTTGCTTCATGTCACTTTAGAGTAGGCATGAGTAGTTAAAAGCAACAGTTTATGGCAATAATTTGGCTAAAAGGCTCAAAAATGGCATCCATCTTTAAACTGTCATTCTGAAATCAACTTTTCGAGCTTTCATGAGAAACCCTTTCATCACCACGGTACCCATTCAGCTGTCCAAAACGTCTGGTTGGGCCTAGCCCCGCCTACTGGGAGCAGCTCCTCCCGACTCAGTTCCTTCAGACTAGCCAGTAGCAATTAGCAAACACCTCCTGAGCTCATTGTAGGAGCTGCTTCAGTGAAACGCTGGTAAAGAGTTAAAGGGTTGATAGAGGAGCCACGTTGTAATGACTTTCTGAAGGCGGAGTTTCAGAAAGAGCTGGAGCTTCTTAAAGAGACAGAGACACAATTTTAATTTGCTATATTACTAAGAAAATTTTATTTTAAGTCATATTCGATACATGCAGCATCTTTAGTTACTTGATTATGCTATAAAACAGCACGATGTGACTGGAAAACACAACAATACCCTGTTAATTAGTTTATGGGAAATATGAAAATTTTTATGCTCGTCTCCTCACTGAAAGGTTTTCCGGTAACTTGCTGCTCTGCTGTGCAGGTAAAGGCTCCATCCCGTCGCTGGGCTCCCCTCAGTCCCTGGACGGCTGCTACTTCTCGCCCAGCCTGGTGGCGGACTGGTTCTGGGGGGTGGTGAGCGAGGCTGTGGAGGAGCTGAGGCGCAGCCCGCAGAGAGGCATCCCGACCCCGGAGCGGCTGGAGAGGAACGGACCCCTGACCACCATCATCCTCCAGGTACAGAGCCGCTGCTGCTTCCTACATTGAAAATATTATTAAATTAAATAGAAAATGGGGAAGTCTTGTTCTGAGATTCAACGACCTCCATTGTTTAAATTCCTCAAGGCAGTTTATCAAAATTATATTTTACTATTTAACGCCATCTGCACCGGCCAGATAATTATTTGTGTTTGCAACGTTTAATTTACTTTTTAATTTTAAATGTTAAAGTTACTTCTCATCTGTTTTGGACTTTATCTTTTTTCCCTACACTAAAAACTTGACACTAAATAGTTTATTTATCCATTTCTCTTTGGTATGCATCTTTTACTATCTTAAGTACACTGCAAAAAACAAAAACAAATTTACAAATATGTTTGGTCAGGTTTCTAGTGCATCTTAGCACAATTAAAAAAAAGACAAGTCTTACTTAAAAGGAACTTTTTAAAAAGATATAATGGTTGTTTTAAGTCAGTAATTTCTTCAAGTTGATGGAAAAAGTTCTAGTTCTATTGGCAGATTATTTAACTCATTATTTAACTTACTTTTTGTGCAATCTTTACAAAATATTGACTTAAAACAAGCTGCTATAACTTTCTGAAAAGTTATCCTTAAGACAGTTTTATCTTATTTCATGTGTACTAAAATATTTGCTCTAGGAACTAGACCAATATTACTTGGTAAGATTTTGTGTTTTTGCAGTGTAAGTACATTTTAGTCAAAAACATTCATAATGTCGTCCTCTGAGTCTGATTCTGGTTTCTCTCTGTTGGTTAGTTATTTCCTGTGCAAAATGTTTTCTTTTGTTGATGTTTATTTATTTGTTTCTTTTAACCAAACCATCTGTCATTTGACCATTTTGTTTTTTTTCTGCTTAATTGTCTAAAAGCAAAGGATGTAATTTATCTATTGTGCTTATTCCAGTACGTTTGATTTATGCTGACTGTCCAAAACAAATTAAACATAAGCTGCAGAACGAGACTTTTTTTAAAATGTGATCACTCAATTCCAACAGTTCTGTGTGGGCGTTAACAGGGCGATGAAAGTGCGTGTGTGTGTGTGTGTGTCCTTCCTGCAGGCGGGCTCCAGCAGGGTTCTGTACGACCTGCTGCCGGTGGTTTCGTTCCGGGGCTGGCCGGCCGTGGCCCAGGGCTGGCTGACGGCCAACCACTTCTGGGACGGGAAGATCACGGAGGAGGAGGCCATCTCCGGGTTCTACCTGCTGCCCTGCTGCTCCCCGCTGGGCGGCCGGCCCGACCGCGAGTGGAGGCTGGCCTTCTCCCGCAGCGAGGTCAGGAGACGCCCACGCCGTCTTTCTCACACCAGATCCATCAATGTGTAGATCACAGCGCTCGAGGTCGGGAATGTGGTCGTTTCTGCTTAAGCTCTGCAATCTAACGTTTGATTAAATATGGAAAACATATTTACAGTTGAGCAGATATTTTCATTCACCTAATAGAAAAACACCTGGACATATTAAAACCAGATAAAACTTCAATTGTTTATTCTTGCCAGATGCTTAAAAACTTAGAGAACATTTTTTCTAGAGATGTTTGTTTTGTTAAAGTGTTTGAGCAGGAAGATCATTTACCTTGACAAGATTTGACTGATTTAGTGTCATTACTACTTATTGTTCCTAATAACTCAACAACAGATAAATCCATGTAATCCAAATAAAGGCTGTTTTATATTTTCTATGTTAACATTATTGAAATTGGAAGATTTTTTTTTTATTTTCTGCAAAATGTCCTTTTTTTGCATTACTTTATTCGTCCATTTGTGTTTCTAAAAAACCCCTAAGTCTAAACCTGTTCAAGGAAGCATAATAGGTCACCATTTGTTCACTGACCAGTCAGATAAGTAGGGTGTATGCGAGACGCTTCAAAATATAAAAAGCACTTTTTTATATTACCACAACACATTATTAATATAAATGATGCCAAATAACAGTGAATTGAAACGGTTGTTTTGTCTGTAATGTGATGGAAAGGCTAGAAACTAACCTTGAAAAGTTCTTGAATTTTGCTGAGGGAAACTTGTGCGAGTCCTGACTATAACCCGGCTCCTGCGTGGTTCTGGTCCAGGTCCAGCTCAAGAAGTGCATCCCATTCCCGATGGCGCAGGCCTTCCAGGCGGCCAAGGCGGTTCTGTCCCGCATCCTGGCCCGGCCTCGATCCGGCCTCAGCCTCTACCACCTGCGCACGCTCCTGTTCTGGGCCTGCGACCGGCTCCCATCCGCCTACCTGTCCTGCCCCGAACCCGACGCCCCCGGCCGCCTCCTCCTGGGTCTGCTGGATGACCTGGCGCACTGTATCCTGGGTAAGAACTGCCCCAACTACTTCCTGCCACAATGCAACATGCTGGAGCACCTGAGCGACGGCCAGGCGCTGCTGGTGGCCAGGAAGCTGGCCCACGTGCGCTCGGATCCCAGCGAACACCTGCGGGCCGCCGTGGACCAGGCGCAGCAGGCCGGCCAGCTGAAGAAGGAGCTGGCGGGCGGCGCCGCCAACGGACACGGTTCGCCGGGACTCCACCCGGCCAACGGCATCATCTCGCCGTCGGAGGACAAGCTGGCGCAGCGGCTGCAGCAGCTGGTGACGGAGAACCCCGGGAAGTCCATCTCGGTCTTCCTGAACCCCGACGACGTGTCGCGGCCGCACTTCCGCATCGACGACAAGTTCTACTGAGAGTCTGGAACCGGACCCTGCTGCTCCGTTAAGGCAGTATGTCACTTTTATAAAAATAATTGTTAAAACCGTCATCATGTTGTGACAGTTTCTGAGACAAATAGTCAAGATTGTTTCAGCGCAAACAAGAAACAACCAATTAGAGCCAGGAGGCGGGTCTTAGTGCTGTCAATCAACCTTGTGTCCACTCTCTGCTACAATACAGCCCATTGTGAATGCTAAAGCTAGAATTATGATGTCACTCTAAACAAAACTGGTTAAAACTGAAGAGAAAAAGAAACAGAAATTATTCACATTGTTTTAATTATGTGATTTATTTCAACAAGTCCATCGATTTCGGCAGATAAACGGTTTTCCTGAGTTGTTTTTCCGCCATTTGCACAGTTTGGAGCGCATTCATGAGGATGATTGACAGCGCTAAGGCTCTCCTGGCTCTGATTGGCTGTATTTGTTCTTGAGCATTTCTTCAAATTATTGGTCTCTCACAGAACAGTGACAGTTTTAACAAATATGTAAAAAAAACAAAAAAAATGTAAATAAAAGTTCCACACTCCAACTTTAAGTCTTAAAACCAAAACATTTCCTCCTGAAAACAGGCGTCCAGTTAATCTGCTGTTGCCACGGCGACGGTTGTCTCCTAACGAGCTGGCCTTAAGGAGACCAAACAGCTGTAGCCTGGACGTGAAAACGCCTCTGTTGGTTGTTTGTTTTTGATTGTTTGTTGGTTTTGTTTATTTTTTAAGCGAGAACCAGAGACTGTGTGTTCATGTCTGCCTTAGGGGGTCCGAACACGGCGAACCCGCCACAGAACCCTCCCGACTCGCTCCGTTTCGTTTCACATCGCAGCGGCCGACGGATGAGTCAGAAGAAAACGAGCTGATGAAACGGATTGTAACTGCAAAGTCTGCGAGTTAAGAGTCTCTTGGGTTGTTTTTTTTTTTCTACTTTTCTGTTATTTTACACTCGGTTTGTGCGACGGTTTCTTTGACTTCTCTCAGGTATGCACAAGGTTTCCTGTTTTTCTTTCCTTTTTTTAAAGCCTCTAATGACGCTTCGCGTCTTCCAAAGAGCCGCAAATGAATTGGTCTCACAAAGCAGAAGGGCTGCAATCAGGATATAAAGGTAGATTTTTCTACTTCACAGTAAATTTAGTGAGTTCATCTCTGAGGAATCAGCAGAACAAATCGACTTCCTCCAAAGACGAATGAACACTCCTTTCATTTCAGGTTTATTTTGATTCCAGGCGATTAGCTTTTTATTGTTTTGATCAGTTTAAGCTGCTCAGCAGAGAAACTTTATCTAAAAATATGATCTATTAGCTCTAAAATGTACAACATCATATTGGGATAGATAAAAAATATTAATAACAGTTTTGCCAAAAAACTCAATAGATACAGCTCAAACTTTCTAGGAAAAACAATTACATTTCTGATTGTGAAAAGTTTAAAATTTGCTAAGAAAAACTGAAATTTTAAAATTAATTTCTGTTTTTAAGAAAAAAAAAAGTACTCGCTTGCAAAGTCAAAAACTTGTTAGAAAATGTGGAAATTTCTGAGTTTCCAAGATTTGGGTGTTTGGCTTTTTTCCGGAATTTAATCTAAATTCTGAAGGTTTTTTTTCACAATTCTGATTTTTTTCTTATGAGATTAAAATCAGGATTCCAGCTTTAAATACGCAAATCACCGTTTTCTCAGAATTTTGACTTTTTGTTTTCTAATTCTGACTTAACGTTTCTGAGATTTGAGTCAAACTTTAATCTCATAGATCAGATTTTTTTGTTGTCAGTATTAACTTTTTTTCTGAAATTGATCAAATATTATATCAATGAAATAAAAAGTAATGGTACACTAATTTAATCCACCACTGATGCAGAACAGGCTCTGGTACGCTACAGAACTCTGTGCATAAGTTTTAATCCGCTTTACATTTCTTCATATATTTGCTTCCAGGTATCAAATTATTTTAACAGCTATTTTCTTACAGTTTAATTTTTCTTTGAGCTTTGGCAGCTTACTTTAAATCCTGACTGAATGGAGTTTCCCACAAAGTGCCCAGTTTCTGCTCACATCTCGGTGTTTTTGACGCATCTGTTCGCTTCACGTTGGACAAACTTTGCTTCTTTTTGAGACTCGACGGATTCGGATAATCGTCCCGTGTCTCCTCCGCTTGGTTGGTCTCTCTTAATGAGCGTCATGCGTCTTGTAAACGAGCGGATGTGTCTCCCAGATGCTGCGCGGTGAATCATTTCCCCCTCAGTGCGTTCATGCCGGTCGGACAGAGACATTCATACCTTCTTCTGGAAAAACAAACCTTTTTTTTTTTAAAGCAAAAACGCCTTTTTTTCCCTCTGTTTTATTTTCTAATAAAGAAATCTCTTAAATCTGCCAGGCGCTCTGCTTATGCTGCTGCAGAGGAATTAATTTAACCGTTTTTTACTCTGTAAATGACTCTTGATCAGTTTGACTCAGTTTTAAATGCTAACTCTGAACCAGTGGCAGAGCAGGGTACGATGGCTGAAGTGTCCGCATGACGGTGGTCGTTTATTTGTTTTCGGTGAATGTTCCCTCACTGGACTTTATTTGTAGCATCTACTAACACAGATGTGAGTACTACTGAATTATACAGTTTTTTTAACGGTAACTGAAGCGGATGTAAACCAAAGCGTGACGTTGACGCGGTACAGAATGTTTTCAGCACTTTTGCCCCCTGAAAAAACATAAAAAATATTCAGATTAATGAAATGACTAATGAAAGGATTCATTAAAAAAAAAAAAGGTTTACGTGTTGGGTTGGAGATCAGACACTGGAAATGATTGTTTATTGTTGCTTGATTTGTACGCTTAAAGTCTCTGAGGTGTTTGAAATGGTGTAAATGCAGATATGCAATCAGGTGGAGACGCCGGTCGTTTACAGACCCGCTGGAGCAGAGCGGGAATTTACTGCTGTAAATAAAAATTAAAGGAGCGGAGAGGCCGATTTATGTTCCGGTGAGCTGTTGCACGGCATTGCAGAAAGAGGAAAAAGAGGAACAAATTTCTGCTAAAGTTTTCCAGAAAGAGATTGAAAAGACAGAAATTTGCTGAAATAAACTTAGAAAATTTGGAGAACAATTTCTAGAAATTGTTTTGAAACTTACGAGTTTAAAAGAACTCAAATTTTGAGATCAATTTAACTTTTGTTTTTCAGTTTAAAGAGTCAAACATAATCTAATTTTCTGAATTTGAAAAGTTAAGTTTGCCTGAATAAATTGAGAAATATTTTGATTAATCTCTGACATTTTCTAGAAACAACCCAGGAGTTTGAAGTTAATGTGGTAGAAAAAACTCAAACTTCAAAATTCAGATCAATTTTCTAGAAAAAACTTTTTAGAGAAATTAGGGAAATTTCTGAGTTTCAACTCAGGTTTTTTTTTTCTTGAAAATGTGAAATGAATCTCCAAATTTGTTTTTTCTACAAAAAGACAGGTTTGTTTTCTGCATAAATATAAACTTCCTTTTTTTTTTTCTTTCTAATCCGCCGTTGTAGAGTCACGGTTATCATGAAACTCGCTCCATGTATCTTAAAGACCGGTTGATGAATCTGGGTTCGTAGCAAACTGAATGTATCCGTCATTTCTCTGTTTTTTAAGAACATCTGGACTCAGTCGCTCTGCTGTGTGGAAACCCAGCTCCACATCTGTCCTCATCCTGCTGGGTTCCTCCTCCTGTTTTTTGTAAAAACTGTTGCCTGATGATTCTTTTGCTATCTTTGTTACTGCTCTTTGTTTCCCGGGGGTTTATATTGATTGATGTGTGAGCTTTAGCATGAAATAAATCACTATATTTAAAGCTCTGTGGTCAGAATGTCACTGCAGTGCCGTGAATTGGCCAACAGAGGGCGCCACAGGACAGCGGTTGGCAAAGGGAACTGATCCTGGATCTGATCATCTCCAGTAAAGTTAAGCTGAGGTAAAAACACTTTTTCTACCTTTTGGACAAATAAATCTGTTAGTGGGTCAAATATAGATAAAATAATCAGCAAAACCCAGAATGAAAAGTAAACACACCCTTAAACCAACAGTTTTAGGCTTTGAGGTGAAATAAAGTTAAGGTTAAAGCAAGGATTTTATCCTTTAGCTAAAGTTTGGAGACGTGAATCAAAATCTATTTCGTTGACCAAGATTGTGTCCACTAACATTCTTATATTGTAGTATAATATATATATACGCTTTCTATGCAATAAAATATGTTTTTGCTGTAGTTTCTTTTTATTCCTTATTCCTTTAAGTTCCCTATATGATAAGAGCAATACAATAGAAACGTAACACATTGTAATCCAGATTAGATTTGAAAAGCAATTCTAACCACATGGTTTTTAGTCTGGATTTATAGGAATTCGGGAAGTTTTTTTTTTTTTTTCAGGTTTCTGGTGCTTCGTAGAAGCCAAATGCTGCTGCTCAAGGTTTGGTTCTGAGCCTGTAGAACCAGAACCAGAAGACCTGAGCAGTTCTAGAAGGCTTGTGTTGAATCTGAGTTGGACTCTGAGTAGATAAAGACCAACATGATTCCTCCATAACGCTCCAAACTGAAGCTTAACAACAGGTAAGATACTGACTGCTGATCAGTCAGTATCTTACCTGACTTTATTATGAGAATAAAGTCAAAATAGTCCAAGAAAAAGACTTAATGTAATGAGAATATCGGCATAACATAATGAAAACATTCAATATGAGAATGTAATGAGAATAAAGTAAAATACTACAAGAATAATGTTGAAATATTTAATAGAGTTGAAATAATATGAGAATTAAGTCAAATTACTGCAATAATAAGCCCAAATTAGAATGAGAATAGTCCAAATATAATATTGTTTAAGCTTCTCGTAAAATGATAATTATTCTCATAATACTATAACTTCACTCTCATATGTTCATGTTTTTATGAACATATGAACAAAGTATGAACATACTTTGAACATACAGTTCAAAGTATGTTCATGTTTTTATTTTCTTGGTTTGTCCCTAATACTGCGTCACCCTGCAGAAACATGCTTGAATAAAAACAGTGATTTCTTGTTTTCCCCAAACTGAAGCGTAACTTCCCGTCTTTCTGCAGCGGCCATCTTGTCCGCTGTCCTTTCTGTTCGTCTCGGCGTCTTCTTCTTTCTTTGTTTCTGCGTTCAGGGAGCATTAATCTCCATTACTGCGTCGCGTGTCGCCGCCTGCAGGGAGCGAGACAGGAGGACTAAGCAGGAGAGGGAGCCCAGCGTGCGCCTCTGCTGTTTGGACGCAGAGTGAGTCTCATCACCTTGAAAGTACCGACCCGTTTCTGTGAGACCCGAGTCGGGGCTAGTCGTGAAATTCGAAAACAAATTCGAATAATTGAAAGTGGGTTGGATAAATCATCTGTTCCTCCAGGTTTTCTCAAAGCTCTGCTCTCTTCCAGGGCTTTGGCCTCCTCAGCCTCCACTTCTGCCAACATGGTGGCAAACCTTTTGCTCCAGCTTTGATTTGTTGCAATTAATTAAATAATAGTAAAAAAAAAAGAAAAAAAAAGCTGGATCACATTTTCGACAGTCGTGCACGCTGAGCTAAAACTAATCCGTCTTTTCCGGAGGAAGTTTTTAGACTGACCTCCAAAGATTGGAATATAAGGAGCAGCAAAGCTGCCAAAATTGTTTCTGTTCCCATTGATTTTATAGCCGGAGGTTTTTGTAGCTCTGAATTAAAACCTTCAGCGTTTTTCACTCCTTTTCCTGTTTCCACTGGCATTTATTTCACTTATAACATGAGAAAATGTCTGGATATAAGTGAAATAATGTGCCAAGAACCAGTATTTGTCTTTAATTAAATACGTATTGCTCCAAATATTCTAATATTTATGTAATATATCAGTATTTAAATGAATATTTATTTAAATAAGTAATTTATTTATTAATGAAAAAGAAATACAGGCTAAAATATTTTGCTGTAAAGTTACTTGCAAATTCTGAAGGCACGTCAAATAAAGAAATAAATAAGTATATCTCAATTAATATAAAAACATAGAAAGTAGAAAATACACTGGAACAACTGGAATGTTAAGAAAAAGTCAATATATATAAATACTCAATTCTGGATATTTAAATCAGAAATATTTCTTACGAATATGTAGAAACAATAAATAAATATTCTGAAAATAATACATTATATTTATTTAATATGATTTATATTCTATTTAAATACATATATTCATACGTATGTATTATTTATAATATTTGTTATTCATACATAACTAAATGGTCACACAGTCATAGTTTTATTGAAACATTCAGTAAAATCTGCGGTAAAATGAGTCTCTTCCTGGGCAAGTTGAGTCAGGAACATGTTTTTGTTTGGTTTTAATGTTTGTTCCCTTCCTGTTCCCCTCCCGTTCCCCTCCGGTTCCCTTTTGCTCCTCGTCTCCTGAATTACCCGACGTTCTGATTTCCCTCCACAGGCAGCTGCTGCTGCTGATGCAGCTCTCCCTCCCTACTTGTCTGTCACTGTCTGAGTTTTTATGCGGTTTTCTCCTCCCACCGTCTCCCAGAAAACCAGAGGAAAGCAGGCAGGATGAAGGATGCAGAGGAGGAAATGTTAAACTCAGTCGGAGGCGGCCGTCACTTTGCAGATTATTAACCCCAGCTCAGGTTTACATCCACCATCTAAAGTACGGCACTTCATTCACTAATCTCTCGCTCTTTCTCTTCTTCTGAACATGCAGTTCAAAGAGCCGCCCGCTCCTCCCTTCCTGTTCCCACATTAATTAAATCTGCATGTAATTACTTTCGTCAAGAAGGGGAATCTGAGACGAGCGGGGAAATTGGTCAAGGCCTCGCTATCTTTGAAGTGAAATTACTTGAGCAAACTAGACTGTAACAGAACATAAAGATGTTTCTGTCGCTTTATCATCTGACAGGCCGAGCTGGAAGAGGGCAGAAAATGTTTACTGTCTCTTTAAGAAAAAACACCTGCATGCTTTTTCACATTTTTTTGCAACATGTCTTAAAATCTCAGTTTTCAATGTATTTTAGGGATGCACCAATATCTAAATTTGAGCTGATAGCTGATATTAATATTGCTTTCAAGGCCGAAAACTGACATTTACCGATATTATATGTACATATTTATCGCTACGTTTTGACACATTTGACAATTTCATAAGAGCAGTGGCTCATTTAAATAAGAAACACAATTAAAAATTACATGTTTGTTCACATGATAAGTCATTAAAAACACTCAATGCCGTCATACTCCTATCACTTCCTGTCGTCTTGTCGTTTCTGCCAGTGGTAACATCCGGTTGTTGATTATGTGAGTCCTGTGATGCAAAACAGTTTTTCCATTTCACTAATTTCAATACACTGAAAAACTTTTCATCAAAAAATGTTTTTGTTTGTTTTTTTTACATTTGCCGTGTTTCCGCGAAGCAAATTTATTCTCGTAATTTCAGTTTGTGCAATTCTTTGTCACCTGGCAGCTTATTAGTCTCTAAATTGGCCGAACATATGAGTGAGTTTAGGTTTGTGCGTCTCTTGTTTCTGTCAATGTTTTTTAATGTGAATCGAAATAAGTTTCTCAAAATAAAAAATAAATTCTGACCTTCCCAGCCTCTGGTAGGGTCTGTGCCTTACCAGGGGAACAAAACCTCCATTTTCTGTCTCCATTTTTCTGAGATGTGAGGCTCACGCAGGTCAAGGAAATTAATGAATTAATATTCCTTATGAGAATCCATCTGGACGGGGAATCGCTCGTACACTCGAGTGTCTCTTAAAACTCCAGATGTTGTCTAATTAAAATGTTTCTATTTCATCGTTTTGCACCCATAGTTTCAACGCCTCATTAAAAATGGCGGACGCCTCCGTTGTTTGTCCATTTTTCCCACCGCAGGCTTGTCAAGGCGTCTTCTCTTCCTCCACACTAACCTGCCGACATCCACTTCACTCCGTCGTTTTCCTCCTGCCTCCCTCTCTGTGGGGGGGCAGAAAATGAGCGATCCTCCAGCAGAGAAGATGAATTTATTCCTGCACTTAGTTTAATGGAACAGCTGATAATCGCTATGTTTGTTTGCTCTGCGAAATTATTTCAAAATCTCCCCATTTCTTCCTCTCATCCTCCCTGCTGCTCTGTCGTTCTGCAAACTTCCTCCAGCATATTTTATTATTATTATTATCATTGAAAACAGACGCTTAACTAATGTATTGAATAATCTGTTTTATCTGAATTTATTTTGCAGGTAATGAAATTAAATCGAAAAGGAAAATATTGTAGAAGAAAGTCCTGGCCTTCACATGACGACCATTTATGTCTGTGCAGATAGTTTCTGTATTTAATCGGTGCACTGGCTCCGTCTGTTCATTACGAGTCTCTCCTGCAGAGCCGATATCTGGGCCCCAGGAAATGCATTTCAGATAAGATTTAAAAAGGCAGGTGATCCATTTTTATGAGCAGCTTTTTCCCGCCTGTGTTGGAGCAACAAGATGGGAGGACGGAGAGATGAGCTGATCAGAGAAATCTGCAAAGTAGGGCAAAGATTTTCTCAAAAGTTTATCCATTCCCCTTTACTTTGCTCCCCATAAAAAAAAATATCACTATGAATATTGTGATTTTTGAGGGTTTCAGATGTTTATCAACAGACTTGATACTTGTTCCAGAAAACTAACACTTAGAACACGGCGGTGGCAGCATCATGCAAGGGAGATGCATTTCCTAGATGTGTTTCGATTAGTTTTAGACGTCAGTCTGTAGAAAACAAAAACATATCTTGAATTAGAATTGGAGCATACAAGTTTTTACAATTTTGAAATTTTTCTGAGTTTGAAAAGTTGAAAAATCTTTACTTTTGAATTTCTAAAATTAATCTAAAAATTCAGAGTTATTTTTGTACAGTTTTACGAGTTTTGGAGTTCAAAGTATTTCCAAGTTTCTTTTTTGTGATTTGTGGAATTAATCTCAAAATATTTTAGTTTTTTTCTCATAAATTTACAGCTTTTCTAGTTCAGAGAATATCTTTGTTTTTTGAAAATATGTGAGAGTATTCTCAGAATTTCAGAGTTTTTTCTAGAAATTTAAAATGTTTTGAGTTTGGAAAAGTTTATTCTTGAAAACATTTATTTGAAAATAAGAACTTTAAAAAAAAATTTTATTTTTTTGAAAATTCCAATTTCAAGAAAAAAGTGATAAATCAACACAAGAAAACTCGTAAATGTTTTGATCAATTTCACATATTTTCAAGAAAAAAAAAATTCTGAGCTGAGAAAAATCAAAAAACCTTTGGAGCTCAGAAGTTTTTTCTTCAAAATATGTGAAATTGGCTGTAATTTTTCTTTGCCATATGACTTTTCAACGTTAAAGTATTTTCTTGGTTGAAATTTTCTGACTTTTTTATGGAAATGTTTTCTTCCTTCTTGCCAGTAAATGGATCTCTGGATGCGGCCAGATTCCCCGTCAGTGTTTTTGTTTTCCTGCTGTCGGACGGCCGTCGGCTGCAGACGGAACATGCGCCGCTTTTTGTCGCGGCCGCTCAGCCCTGCTGTCCGTCAGCGCCGGGCCCGACGGAACCGAGCCCGACGGAACCGAGCCACGGATCGCTGCCTGGAAGACGGAGCAGACGAGGGACTGAGAGCGGCTCACGTCTTCCTCACCGTAGGATGAGTCATCCTCGGCACTGCGCTGTGAATGAAGCGGGACGGGGAGGGGACGCCTGCAGGGAGGAGGAGAAGAGTTTCTGTCAATGAGAGAGGGAGGAGGAATGGAGGGATGATGATGTCAGAGGGAGAGATGAGTGGATGTGATGAGGAAACAGCTGGTGGAGGAGAACAATTCAACCAATCAGATCCAAACAGGGAGGAGGAAAGGAAAGAAGGAAGAGAATTAGGACACAATGAGGGTCAGAACAGAGGTAAGGAAGGAAGGGAGCGAGGAGAGAATTAGGATACAATGAAGGAAGAAAAAACAAGGAAAGGACCACAAAAATAAAAAACAGAGTGAAGGAAGGAAAGACAAAGAAGAGAATTAGGACACAAGGAAGGAAGGAGGAAAATCAAGGAAAGAAGGACACAGAAAAGGGAGAGAACAGAGGAAATGAAGAAAAGGAGGAAGGATACAGAGGAGGGACAAAATGAAGGAAGGGAAATAAGGATGGAAGGAAAAACAATTAGGACACAAATTCCTTACCTTCTTTCCAGAGGTAAGGAAGGTAGGACACAAAGAAGGAAAGGGACAAAACAAAAGGAGGGAGTAAGGATGCAAAGGGAGGAATGAGGGAAGGAAGAGAATTAGGACACAATAAGGATGAGAACTGAGGTAAGAAATAAAGGATGGAGAGAAGGAAACAGTCAAAAAGAAGGATGCAAGGAACAGATGAAGTTAGGACACAGTGAAGGAGAGAACAAGAGGAAGGAAGGAGTTGGGACACCATGGAGGCGAGGACAGAAGGAAGGAAGAGAGGTAGGACACAGAGCTATAAATTCGTAACAAATTTCTAAAAAGTTGTGGAAATTTCAGATTTCCAAAAGTCAAAAAGGTCAAAGTTTTTTTTCTTCAAAATTTTCACTTTCCAAACTCAGAAATTTTCACCTTTTTCTAGAAAATATGAGATTAATTTATAACTATCTGAGTTTATTTTGGCTGATTTTCCTGTTTTCTGTCTGCAGCGGCTGTAATATACCATCTTATCTTTAAAGCTGTCTGTGCGTTTAGAGGTCAAAGATCAGCATCACAGGGTTACATCCTCCGCTCTGATTGGTCAGTTCCTGGGTTTTCCCTTCCTTCATCCTTTACATGACGGAGAGGAAACGTCCCTTTGATGCTCGTCTTTTCCTGCCACCTCAGGAAAAGACGAGTTAGACGGATGTACACTTCACCTCCGCTGTGAAGGTCGGAGGAGGCGTGGCGCGTGATCCTCCGTCATTTAAGGCAGAGCTGCTCATCCACGACCTCTGCAGAGGTCACCGCCGCAGTCCCAGAAGCCCCCAGGCCTCTGAAGGAGCATCGATCACCACCAGCCTCTGTTCTCACACCCAGATGCTGTGAGGACAGGATGCACAGGATGCGGCCACCGCTTTTATCAAGGTACTGCTGTTCCCACAAACGATGATCTCAGTAAAAACTCATCATTTTGTTTGAATTCTTCTTCTTTTTCTTTTTGTTTTTCTGAGCTGTAGGAAAAATCCGGGTATCTTTAGTTGTTTCCATTGACCATAAAATTGCACAATTTAATTTTTCAAAAATAAAATTGCTTAACCCAAACATGGCAATTTGTGGGGAGGAGGAATCCGGGTATTTGTTTCTCAGATAAAAAGTTTTGGAAGTTGGTTTTCAAGAAGATTACAGGAAACAGATGGAGGATAAAAGTGCTGGGTGTTTTTAAATAACTTGTGAAATGAACACAATTATTACATGTGATTTTAATTGTGTTTCTCATTTAAATGGAAACAAACAAGTTGCAAAATTGTATTATTATTTTTTAATATTTGCGAAATATAGTTTAAAAAGTTTTACTTGTATTGGAAACAACTACAAATTCAAGAGAAACACAGTTGGATGTCATCAGCATAGATAAGACAGGAAACATGATGACAGGGCAGAATAATGTGAAATGAAAACTACAGTGGGCCTAGGACTGAGCCTTGCGGAACAACACAATACATTTTCACCCCTAAAAGTGCCACAGTTGGAGGAGAACTTAAAGTTCAGCCAATTGGACGAAAATAAAGTTAAAATCCCCATGTTCCTTAAACGCCACACATCCCAGGAAGCTGTTTTTCACAGCGGAGGCTAAAGGTTTCTGCAGGCGCGAGGTTAAAAACATCAAGTCCAAACCAAACACAGATGCTGCCGTGTAGATTGCAGGATTTGTGCCTCCCAGCTCAGCGTTACATAGAGCTGCACACATTCCTTTAGCTCAACCCAGCAGAAGCTGAAGCCATCTTCTGGCGATAACAGCTAATATGCTTATGCTAATTTATATTTTACTTTCTAGCCTTTGCACACAAAAATAGCAATGAAGTCCAAACGGGCTGCAAGTTTAGACCAATTAATGATAATCAGAATAAAAGCAGCTGCTGTTCAATGAATTGAGCTGATTTTCTTTCTGTAAAACAACAGAAATATATGATAAATTAATCCTTTAATCTGAATGAACTTAAATAAACTCAACGATAATGTTTTAAGGACTAAATTGGACTCTGATTTCTGTGACATAAACAGAGCAGATGCTAATTTTTGTCTGAGCTTTTGCTACATCTGAGTAGCAAAAGCAAACAATAAAACCTGTTAATGAAGAACTGATCCATTATTTTATTTTTAATTGTTTTTATATTCTGAATGTAATATTTTTTTAATCATGATTAATTTCTTCTCTCGTAGGTTTAGAAGGCCGACTTTGTAACTGTCTTTATGTGACTCTGAGGGTCCTGGTCCGAATCCATTACCAGATGTCAGAATTTTCTAGGGTTAAAAACTGAAAAAAAATGAAGGAATATTTGTTTGAACTACAAAAAGGCTTTTATTAGGAAATCACTAGTATTTCTGATATTAGCCATTTAAAAGCAGCTGTGAAAACCAGAGTTCCACTTGTACTGGACTAATTAGGTTAATTTATTGTGTGGTTTAAATGGTAAAGGTTAAACAATGGCTGAATGAGATCGCTGACTGCACACACAGAGGAGACCTGCAGCGATAAACAATTGGCTTCCTGTCTGGATGCTGCGGACACTGTAAAAATCACCGTCTGACTTAAAACTGCAGCTTTATTCCGCTCACGTTTTAATGTTCGGCCGCCGCTCAGGGTTCACAGAGGAACATCCTCATTCATGAAGGCTAATCCTATTTATTAAATCCCTACATACAGTATGAAACAAACTTATTAGCATGCATAGGGGGGATACATTTTAAAACAGAACATTATGCACTTTAATACCATTAAAGGTTGGAAATTAATGATTTACATCATCTATAAATAAATAAAATATCACAAATGATAAGAATAAGCGGCACTCAAGAGAGCTTTATGTTCAAGTGGGACAAAACCAAAGTTTATTTGTGTGCAACAAAAAAATGGAATAAAAATCTTCCCTTCCAGCCCATTTTCAGCTGCAGAATAATCATAAAAAAGCAGCTTTGAAAGCTCCCGTCCCTCTTTTCTCTTGTGTGGATCATGGCAGACTAATCTCAATCTGTTTCGCTGTGATATCACACAACGGCTCCACGGCCCGGCCGGCGCCAGCCTGCTTGGCTCGCCGCTCTGCCAGCCGGCATCGGCGCACAAAACGCCGCTCTATCGAGGCCGTCCTTTGGCGGCGTCCAAACGCTCCAGTCTGCAGTGACTAAAGTGTGTCTAAGCCTCCACTTCTGCTTGTCATCTCCATTTCCAAGAGCATCGCTTTGACATTTCCCACAAACTTTGCTGCTTTCGCTGGAGAAACCAGCGCAGGAATTGATATAAATCTGAAAAGAAGTCAAATATTTTCTATCAAATATTGGGTTTTTTCTTTTTATAATAAATTTCAATAAAAATTCGCATTTAATCTTAATTTTTTCTTTAACTAAAAAATTTACACACCCTAAAAAGTATTTTTGTTTTGGGAGAAAAATACTTTTAGAAGTATTTTAAAAATAAAAAAGTATTTCTTTTTTTTAAAAAGAAAAAAAAAATTATTTGTATACATTTCTTTCTAAAATAATTTATAAAGAAATTTGTGACTGTTTATAAGTTTCTTCATAAAAATTAAATTTTGTACTAAAAGAAAATCAATTCTATTTAATTTGGTTAATGGAATAATTTTTTTTATTTTATTTTATTAGATTTTTTTAAAGTTCATTTTTATTGCTAGTAAAAAAAAACAGGTATTTTAAATTAATATATATATATATATATATATATATACATATATATATATATGTATATATATATATATATATATATAACAAAGCCTCAACAGACAATGTGCTCAGTGAATGTCTCAGACAACAGGGAACGGAGGTTGAGGTGCCAGAGATACCATCATGGGAGGACAAGCCCCTACATGGGATGTACCACCAGCAAATAACCCAAGTGGCTGATATCAGTAAATCCTACCAATGGATGGAAAAAGCTGGACTCAAGGACAGCACAGAGGCCCTCATCCTGGCCGCCCAGGAACAGGCCCTAAACACCAGAGCAATAGAGGCCCAGATCTACCACACCAGACAAGACCCAAGGTGTAGGTTGTGCAAGGAGGCCCCTGAGACAGTCCAGCACATCACAGCAGGGTGCAAGATACTGGCAGGGAAAGCATACATGGAGCGACATGACCAAGTGGAAGGCATAGTGTACAGAAACATCTGTTCAGATTATGGACTGGAAACCCCGAGATAAAAGTGGGAAACACCCCCAAAGGTGGTGGAGAACTCCAGAGCTAAGATCCTGTGGGACTTCCAGATCCAGACAGACAAAATGGTAATGGCGAACCAACCAGACATTGTCATAGTGGATAAACATCAGAGGAAAGCCGTTGTGGTTGATGTAGCAATACCAAGTGATTGCAACATCAGGAAAAAGGAGCATGAGAAACTGGAGAAATACCAGGGCCTCAGGGAAGAACTGGAGAGGGCCTGGAAGGTGAAGACCACAGTGGTGCCTGTGGTCATCGGGGCCCTCGGGGCAGTAACCCCCAAACTGGAGCAGTGGCTACAACAGATCCCAGGAACAACATCAGACATCTCAGTCCAGAAATGTGCAGTCCTTGGCACAGCCAAGATACTGCGCAGAACCCTCAAGCTCCCAGGCCTCTGGTAGAGGACCCGAGCTCAGAGGATAAGAACCACCCGCGGTGGGTGAGAAGGGAATTTTATTCAGAAAGCTTTTTAAAAACATACTATTATTAAGTTGGCAGTGGGAAAATAGCAATATAAATTACTTTATCATATTTTTCCATTATGACATGTGAGGCTCTGCCTCACCTGCCTCACCTGCTGAAGTTACCATAGTCACTGATAACTATGGCAACCAGTGACAGTTTAAAAGCCCACTGACACTTTCTGAAACTATGACATCACAATGTGACACCAAAGGCAGAATTCTGACATCACCAGCGATTATAAAAGTTCCTCACGTCGATCTACTGATGTCACAACCTGTTAGCAGCCGTTGGTGATACGTTCGTCTTGAGAGTTCGTTTAGCAGTTCACAGTAAGATCTTCAACTTTGTTTGGTGCTCATTTCTTTAGGAGATTGACATCAAACTTAACTTGAAATTTTACTGAGATTCTAGTAAAGTGATTTTAGATTACAACCCGAATCAACAAAAGAATACAATGCAGTCCAACCAGCCGAGATTCGAAGAGGTCACATCCGACAACATAGTGGAAAGGGAATTACAGCCACCCAAGCCACCAAAGCGTAAGAAGAAGAAGATGTCATTTGCAGTGTGGTGGGAGCTGCACGCAGCCGAGGAGCTGAAGAAGTCTGCTGAGAATATCAAACTGCAGGACTCTTCAATGATGGGTGAAAGTGAATCGATCAACAACACAATGGAGACAGTGGATGAAAAAGGGGACAAACAGCTTTCTAAGAGTAAGCGCAACAAGAAGACCCCACTGTTGTGGAAATCATTCCCAGAAGAAGATGCTTGCATTAATCTTTCATTTTTTACCGGTGACATCAATAATGGTCCTCAGGTAGATCAACAAAGTCATCAGGCAGCTTTGCCCAGCAGCGGTCAGAGGTCATTTTGGAAAACGCTCCCCAACTCAGAGCCCTGCGTAGATGTCAGCTTTTTCGCTGAGATCATTGGAACAAAAAATGTTTCAATGGTTTCACAAGAACATGAGGAAGATGCTTCCTTGAAAGAGGAAAGCTATCCTGGCAACACGGCGATTCCTACCACACAGCCAAACGCCGAAGAGCAAAACATCTCCAGCTCTCTGAAGAAAGTCAATCAAAAAGGGGACAAACAGCTTTCTAAAAGTAAGCGTGTCAAGAAAACCCCACTGTTGTGGAAATCCTTCCCAGAGGAAGATGCTTGCATTGATCTGTCGTTTTTTGCTGAAAACGGTGGAATCAGTAATTGTCCTCTGGTAGATCA